GGGAGCGGCCCTCCACGCCCTTTCCCCCGCTCCTCTTCGCCGCCTCGCCCTTCTCCCACCACTCTTCCTTTTAAGTACAAGACAGATTCTTCGAGGGAAAGTCTCGAATGCTGCTGGCTGAGGGGGATGATTCAGGGCCTGACGAGCCCGGATGGGAAAGCGCTCTGGAGTCCCCGTCCCTCCTCGCTGCCCCTTTTCAGATTTATGGGGGGGCAGGGAGAGACGAGCAGAGAAAAAACTGACAAACCCAGCACCCTCCGTGTAAGAAGAGCTGGTGGCTCCTGGTGAAAGGGTCACCTGAAAGGGGGGCCTCAAATTGACAGTGAGGTGTCAAGGGCTTACTATTACTCTCTTAGACTTACAGGAGAAAATTTAAAACATTCCCACAGGGCTGTATTGCCTGTCTCAATCCTATTTAGCGTTTCCTTCTTAACCCTGGCTCTACCCCTCCTCTTCGCAGACAGAATTTAGCAGCAAAAGCTCCCTACCAAAGCTCTAAAGCTGCATTGATGCGCATTTGATCCGAGCAGGGGCGGTGATTGTCTCCCTTCTTCTCTCCTTAACGCGAGGGTGCATCTTATCCTCAGAGGCAAGTCATCTAAGATTTCTGGACCAGGGCTGGGTGCCCTGCGGCTGGCACGGCCCTGAGCAGGCTGAGCTCACTCCACCCGGGCGATGCCAGGGCGCACGTCACGGTCGGTCGGTCGCAGGGCGCAGAGAAATGTCAGGTCACCCTTTGGTGAGAAGTGGGCGAGCCTTGAGTCACCCTCGTACCTAGCACCCATCTTTCTTCCTCCTTAGTGTTCCTATTTTGCCCAGGTGACACCTGGTGGGTGGGCAGTTAGTGTGTGCCTGCCTCAAGAATGAGAACAGAAGAAAGTGACTCACTTGCTATTTATTTCTCAGAGAGAAACACACAGTTCTGGCCTTTGTTGAGGTCTGGCCGCTGTTGAGCTGAACATATGCGTAACCAGGAGGGAGCTCCGGAAAAATCCTTAGAAAAGTAAAGCCCCTGCTTGGGAATGGGTTTAGAAGGCTCGAGCCTAGCTGGTACCAACCTGGGTGCACCCCCTGAAATTCCTCACTAAGGATTCCTTAGTAACAGACTAAGCCATTCTGAGTTTTAGGAGGAGGGGGAGGGGGGAGGTAAACAGGTTCACAGGAAGGTGCTTGGAGGGGCTGCAGGAGACCGTGGAAAGAGGGTAGAGGCTGCCTGGATACAAACATAAGTAGCTGAGAGGTCTCAGGCCTGTCGTTTAAGTTCTCTGGAACTCAGTTTTCTTTACTGTAGAAGTCAGCAATAACAGCGTATATTTTTTAAGCTGTTATAAAAATCGACCCAGTGCTCGGTTCAGGGAAGGCATTCACTAAATACGGTCCCTTTTATTAAAAGGATATCAAGCAGTTAAGAGTCCTGGATCTCTAAGCTGTTGGGGGTTGAGGGGAGTTAGGCAAAAAAGATAAGGTACTGAATATGAAATATGAACTGGGACACAATAGGCTGAGTAAACTAGGATAATACTGAGGCCACATAAATTTGTCCCTGCATCTCTTAGGCCAGTTCTCCTAATAGTAATAGGCTCTGCGTTGGGAATGTTGGCTATTACTGACTTGTGTGGCTTTGGCTTTGAATAAGTTGCTTAACTTTTGTGCCTCTGTTTACTTACATATAAAATGGGGGTAATAATACTTCCTACATTGTGAGAGTGTTGTGAAAGTGCCTGAGATCCTTAGATAAAAGGTAATATATGAGTACCAAAGTAGTTATTACTAGTCTATAAAGTGCCCTAGGAACCACAGATGAAAGAGAATATTGAGGCACAAAGCACTGTATATTATTATTGTTATCATACCTTTGTCTTTACCTTACCATTCTCAATATTCCCAAACATATATTTCACAGCCAAACTGCGTCCAACATTGCACAAAGATTTTAGCTGAGTCAGTCCTAGGTTGCAACATGTTTGCATATCATCAATCTTTATGTAAAGAGTTCTGATGAAATCATCTTCAGAGACTCGGAGCTTGGTTTCTCAACCACATCACTATTGGCAATTGGGACTAGATAATTCTTTGTTTGGGGAGTTGTCCTGTCCACTGTAGGATGTTTAGCAGCATCCTTGGCTTCTACTTATCAGATGCCAGTATCTGCCCCCCAGCCCCAATTGTGACTTTGTCAAATATTTCAAGGTGGGTGGGAGGGAGGGTAGGCAAAATCTTCCCCAGATGAGAAGCTCTGAGCTAGCCTAAAATAACTAATTTTCATGACTCACTTGCCTTTAATAATAAAGGGAAATATGATGATGCTAACAAAACAAAGAGATTCATTTTAATATGTCACAGTGAAGTTTTTTCTAAATGTTAAATCTTACTTAATGTTTTCTAGGCAGTAGATTAGCTATGATGTAAAAGAGCCCATTTGTATGTGTTGAAATAATTGATAGGATATTGCAAAATAGCCATTTTGCCTTCAATGCAAATAATTCTGGAGCATATGCAATTCACCTCTAAAATAAAAATAATATATGTACCCAGTTTTAAAAGTTAAGATACTTTAGTTCTGTAAGGATTATAGCAAAAAACAGCAACTTACCCTTTTCTATTCCCAAAACCATTCCCAGAACTTTGAACTCTTTTAACTGTTTCTGCTAATATAGATCTTCATATTTATTTATTTATTTATTTTTAATCCTCAACCAAGGGTATATTTTCCATTACTTTACAGAGACAGTGGAAGGGAAAGGGGGGGGGGGAGAGACATTGACAAGAGGTACACATTGATTGGTTGCCTCCCGCACTCGACCCAGCAGGGGCCAGGGATCAAGCCTGCAATGGATGTATGTGCCCTTGGCGGGAATTGAACCCTGGACCCTTCAGTCGAGAGCTGAAGCCCAGGGCCAGGATCGAACCTGCAACCCAGGGATGTGCCCTTGACCAGAAATCAAACCCTCAACCCTTGGGTGCTCATCCAACACTCTATTGAGCAACACCGGCTAGGGCTTCTGATACATTTTTAATCTTTACTCTCCTGTTTCCATTTCTTTGGCATGCTATTCCACTTCCAGCCAGATTTCCTCCACTGTATGTGCCAATCTTTCTATTGACTTTTCTGTTCCTGCCACCATTGTTTTCTAACATGTTTCTTATTCTCTAAATATTTTTTTCCTAGTATCCTATTCCTGTGTCTCAGATTCTTTATCTTTTCTCTCCCTAAGGAAATATAACTTTTCTCCTGCTAGTCCTGCACGCTGCCTCTAGCCTTTATGTTCCTTTTTTCTTTTTGACTGTTTTAGTCTTCATCTTTCATGTTAGAGGATTTCCTCATCAGACTGCTGTTCTTTCATATTTGAGACTGGAGCACTTAAAAGCTCTTCTGTGAACAGGCAGAGTTTGTTGACTAATGGTCCTCATTTAGGAGGCTGGTGCTTGGACCCAGGATTTTGTGGAAGCATGTGCCAAATGTCAGCATCTAAGGAGCTTTTCTCTTGGCCAGATCAATTTCCCTGAGAGAAACTGTGTTTCTGCCTATGTTGCCACTTGTCAACTGTTTCAGGAGCCAAGTAGGGAAAAGGGGCTGTGGGAGTCTCACTACACAACATGCTGGTTTCACCAAGTCCCTGTGCTCAGTATGCCTAGTGTGCTTAAGTTCATTACATTTGTGATGTTGATCTGCAGAGCATAAACTTCCGGTCCTCTGCGAGGATCAGGGGAGACAGACTCCTTGCTACTGAGCCTTGAAGAGCAGATTCAAGAATCTAACTTTTCCTTATGTTGATTTTCAACTAGTCATTCTGTTTTAACACACACACACACACACACACACACACACACACACACACACACACACACAGACATGCACACCTGACCTTTGCTCTCTTTCTCGGAGGTATATGCTGATGCCTCCAATTGCTGGGCTTTCTTTTTAGGGTAATTTGGGATAAAAAGGACTTATTCACTTTCCCTCCTGCAGGTGATTAGAATTCACCTTTCTCTGCTCTCCTAAAGTCAGTTTTCCATCTTTCATCTTCCAAAATTCTCTTCTCATCTCCCATCCTCTTTGTTATTATTGGTTTATCATTTTACTTTTGTTTTAGTGAAGTTACTTGAGGGAGTAGAGATAAAATGTGTGTTCAGTCTGTTATGTTTAACAAGAAGTCCAATCCATCAATCTTGCAGATTTCCAGATACTTTGAAATCTAATCCATGATGAAGTCAGATCAGTACAGACAACTACATCTTATTTTCTTCCTCATTGAATGAAATCATAAGCCCCTATTGGTTGACACTATTACAAAGAGCTCTATGAAATGTGTTGTATTTTTTGTAGGCTGTTTTGAAAATGTGGCCTATTATGTTGCAGAATGTTCCTATTATTTAAAACCTAGGAAAAAATGTCTGACATTAATATTAAAAATAGTTGTATTTTTCTTTTGTTACTTTTTTTAAACCACAGTAAAACTATGTGTTATTTAACTAGTGAGTTTTCCCTTTTTCATTTGACTGCTGATAATCTTTAACCAGATTTATGACCTATCAAGGAAGGATCTAGGTTATGTAGTGCCTGACATTTATACACTCTTCTTTAAGAAAAAAAAAAAAAAATGGTAAAAAAAATAAATATAAAAAAATAAATTTAAAAAATTATAAATTTTAACAAATTGAAAAAAATATCATAAGCATTATAAAAATTCAGGAAAACAACCAAATTATTCATAATTTACTGTGATATATTTCCATAACACTATATTACCTGCATTATTATTATTGACTTTATTATGATTTATTACTCATAAAATATGTGACTTCACATTCAGCTTTTTCCCTCTATTTGTAGTACAAATATATAGGTTTGTGTACCACAAACACAGGAACTGTGATAAATTCTATTTGGTACTATTTCCATCAAAAAAGAAAATAATTGCCCGACCGGCATGGCTCAGTGTTTGAGCATTGACCTATGATCCAGGAGATCACAGTTCGATTATTGGTCAGGGCACATGCTCAGGTTGTGGGCTTGATCCCCAGTTGGGGGCATGCAGGAGGCAGCCGATCAATGACTCTCTCATCATTGATGTTACTATCTCCTTCCTTTTCCCCTCCTCTCTCTGAAATCAATAAAAATATATTTTAAAAGGAAAAAAAGAAAGAGAAAATAATGTCCTAGGCATTTATAATTTTATACCCTGTATTATTAAATATATTCTTGATAGGAAAGAACTTCTGTTTTGACTAGGTAACAATAAAAACAGAATTCTCTGATTATTTTACACATCTGATGATTGGAAGGATTTCCTACAGACTAGCTTTAATGCCCTCAGGCTTGCCGCCTCAACCTCCTTCTTGCTGTCATCAACCACTCCCCAGGCACTTTGACTTACTGAGGACCTTAGCTTTAGCCAATTGTCTTCTCTGATTTGTATCAGTTCTTCCTGATAACATACATAGATCATCTATCCAAGTCTCTTCCCATCTCACATACTTAACTTGACCTTCTCATTTCCAATAACCATTTCCTCTTTACCCTCTCCAGTCAGGCACTCTCATAGTTAGTCTCTTGACTTTGTCATCACCAGTCAATGCACCTCCAAAAATTCAGTTTAAACATCTCATTTTCCAACACCACCTCCTACCCCTCCAGCACACTTACTCTGGTATCCCTACTCCGACGAATTTTTGATCTACTGATCATGCCAGTTTTTTATTATGTGTCATTCCTTTTCATGTCCTAACTTCCTTAGTCAGTTTCAGTTCTAAAGTTTATCATTATTAGCCTCCTCTGTGCCTGCACCTGCTCATCTAAACAAGGTTAGTTAAAAACAGAATGGCATGAGATGGCAAATAGACATATGAAAAGATGCTCAACGAGAAATGCAAATTAAAACCACAGTGAGGTATTACTTCATACCTGTCAGAATGGCTATGATCAATAATAAATCAACAAACAAGTGCTGGCAAGGGTGTGGAGAAAAGACAACCTCATGCACTGTTGGTGGGATTGCAGGCTGGTGCAGCCACTGTGGAAAACAGTATGGAGGTTCCTCAAAAAATAAAAAATGGAACTGCTTTATGGCCCAGCACTTTCACTTCTGGGTATATATCCGAAGATACCCAAAACACTAGTTCTAAAGAATATATGCACCCCTATGGTCATTGCAGAGTTATTTACAACAGCCAAGATATGGAAGCAGCCCTGGTGCTCATCAGTAGAGGAGTAGATTTAAAAAAAGTTGCAGTACATATACACAATGGAATATTACTTGGCCATAAAAAGAATGAAATCTTACCATTTGCGACAGCATGGATGGACGTAGAGAGTATTAGGCTAAGTGAAATAAGTCAGTCAGAGGAAGGCAAATGCCATATTAGTTCACCTATATGTGAAACCTAAAGAACAAAATAAATGAACAAACAAAACTGAAACAGATTCATAAGCACAGAGATCAGACCGATGGTTGCCAGAAGGGAGGGGTGCTAGAGGCTGAGTGAAAAAGGTGAAAGGGTTAAGAAGTATAAGTTTGTAGTTACAAAATAGTCACAGGGATGTAAAGTACAGCATAGGAAATACAGTCAATAGTACAGGATGGGGTAAAGCAGGTTTACAGTGGTCTATATGGAAATAATGCAATAATAGACAATAACACAAGAATAAACTGTTTCACATACTCACAGCTATAAACCTACTTTTGCCCCACCCTGTGTGATAATAACGATGTATGGTGCCGGGTGGGTACTGAAAATACCAGGGGAACATTTTGTAATTGTATATGATTGTCTAACCCCTGGCTGTGCACCTGAAACTAATAATAAATAATATTGAATGTAAACTATAATTAAAAAATAAAATTAGAGCCCGGCCAGGCGGGGCTCAGCGGTTGAGCATCGACCTAGAATCCCAGCAATTGGGGTTCGATTCCTGGTCAGGGCACATGCCCGGGTTGCGGGCTCGATCCCCAGTGACTCTCTCATTGATGTTTCTGTCTGTCTGTCTCTCTCTCTCCTTTCCTCTCTCTGAAATCAATAAAGATATATTTATAAATAAATAAATAAATAAAATAAAATTAGAAAAAAAATTTAAAGCCTTTCCCATGTAAAACAAAACAAAACAAAGCAAAGCAAAACAAAACAGTACAGCTTGCTTCCAAACCCTACCTTAAATGCATGACCATAGTTTCAACTCAGAAGTTCATACTGTTTGGCAATCCTGCAATCCTAATCTTACTCTCCTGTGCTTCTGAATAACCAGTTCACTAGTCCTTTCAATCTCCAATACCTCCTCAGCCTAACCTCACGGTCGGTTGATGAGCTTGCCTTCATACGTCATTGACCACGTAGGATGCATCAGAGCAGAGCTCCTCATCTTTCCTAAGACAACTCTACCCGCTTTCCTATGTCTGGATCTACTCTCTGCCTTCTTACTTTTAGGTAAAGTTCTCTACTCCTCTCAAAGGCAGTCCTGCCATTTATGTCTTTCCTCTTTAAAGGGCTTTGCTCCTACAGTTATGTTCTCCTCTTGTTCATAATCAATTTCTTCTCTATGAAATCATTCCCTTCAACATACAAATGAACTCTGGTAATCCCTTTGGTATTACTTTTTTATTTATTGCTGCAGCAAATTTCCACGGACTTAACTTCTTAAACAATACCACTTTATCATCTTACAGCTCTGTAAATAGACGTCCTACGTAGGTCACATTGGGCTAAAATCAAATGGCCATCAGGGCTGCATTCCTTTCTGGAAACTCTCAGGAAGAATCCATTTCTTTGCCTTTTCCAGCCTCTAGGAACCACCTACATTTCTCAGCTTATGTTCCCCTTCCCCATCTTCAAAGCAAGCAATGTCACAACACTCTGTCCTCTCAACGCCTTTCTTCCATAGTCACAAAATGTTATGGTTCTCTCTTATGCCTCCCTTTTCCACTGTTAAGTATCCGTGTGATTACTGTTAAAAAATTCAGGTGAGTACATTCAAAGATGTAATTGGCTTTATTAAGTGATTCATAAATCAGGCAGCATCCCATCTAGCAACTAGAAGGGTGCTCTGAGGAAGTGTACAAAACTTAAGGTTTTTATAGAAAGAAGGGTGGGGCAAGGAAGCTATTAGCAGAAGAAAAGAAAGGTTTATTTTTAGGTCAGGATATCTTCTTCTTTGGTCCCAGAAAACAGGAAGGATTTTATCATGCAGTTTGCCTGTTCTTTTGGGGAATGTAGATGGCCCTCGTGACAGATAAACGTCATCAGAGCTGAGCCGAAAATTCCAGACTGGTTAAGATTACATTTCTGGAAAAGGTCAAAACTGCACTTAGGGTTAAGTGTTAAATCCAGGTTTGGTAACATGCTTGGGCTCTTAGTACAAGTGATGGCCTGGAACTCTTTGGAGGTCATTATTCTGAATACCACACCCTCTTAGGAAAAACATACAAAAAACTTCCCTTGACTTTAGAATCCAATATGGTCAATGTCCTATTTCTTTTTTCATGTTCACAGTCAAAATTCTTGGAAAAGTTATCTTTAGTCACTGTTCCAACCTTGTGGAACTAAACCTTGAATTTCTGGGGCCTATTCTAATTCTGGATAGTGTTACAACTGAATTGTGGGACATCCAGGTGGTGTCCAGAGTGTGGGAAAATTGTTTGGTGTGGGAATCACCCCTCACCTCTCAACATTTAGTGTCACAAGTGTTGAGATTAGAGGAAGCACAGTGTTTCCCTTTTCAGCTGTTCCATTGAAGATGTGATTTCCTGATAAACCAGCAACTGAACTCTTAGGTACCTACCCTACTGGAACTCTGACCTGTACACAGGCACATATGGAAATAAATGCTCATTCCAGCACTGATTTGTTTTTGTGTGTTTTTTAAATTTGTTTTTTAATTGATTTTATAGAGACAGAAGAAGGGAGGGGGGAGAGAGAGAGAGAGAGAGAATCATCAATGTGAGAGAGAATCATCAATATGAGAGAGAAACATCAACAAACTGCCTTCTGCATGCCTCCTACTGGGGATCGAACTGGCAACCTGGGCATATGCTCCGACTGGGAATCAAACAGGCAACCTTTCAGTACATGGGACAATGCTCAACCAACTGAGCCACTCAGGCCAGGGTGGCACTGATTCTTTTTAATAATTTTTTATTACATTAGTTTCAAGTGTACAACCTGGTGGTTAGACATTTATATAACTTACAAAGTGATCACTGTTATTATATGTTTGCCTTTGTTAGTAAGAATGCCCACCAATAAAATTGCCCTGGAGAATTATACTTTTAAAAAGTTCAATGAATGAATTTTGCAAAGATATGCAAATTCACCAGAAAGAGGTCTGACCAATAAAACATGACCATAACCAGATTAAAACCATTGGCCTATTCAAAGAAGGAATGAGTCCATCAGTAGCAGAGTTAGCAGCCTTGTTAGCAAACAAGAGTCAGAATGCGAAGGTCCTGGGGAGAGACATTTGTGGAGATGAATGTCTCAGTCTCTCATAGCAGAGGCCAGTAAACACTGGATTCCTGATAAAATCAGAGTTCTGAATCAAAGCTGAGGATCAAAGGCTGGTTATGGTACAAACACCAAGGAACACTTCCCCACCCTGAGCTGCCCCCACCGCCCGAGTGAAGCCCCGGGAAACAGTTTACTTCCTGGGCAACCTTAGGACACCCATCCTGCCTGTGGGCCATCTGACAAATATTTAGGCATAGAGCACCTGCTGTATGCCAGACACTGGGATGCAAAGACCAAGAGTGAAGGGGCTTCTCAGGGAGCCCAGGTTATGTGGCTTGTCTTGTCTAGTTGTTCTTAGCCCTAAGAATCACTTATTATGAAGCCCTAAAATTTTGGTGAAATCAGAATAAATCTTTCACAGAAAAATGCATGGAAACTGAGCTGTTTACATTCCATCTATTTTATTACATTAAAAATTCCTTTGACATAACTATTGGCTTTATCATGTATTAGCTGTGTAACACTGGACAAGTTAGTTAATCTCTCTATGCCTCAATTTTCTGATCTCTGAAAGGGAAGTAATATTAGTGCTATCCTTGACAGACTGTGGAAAGGATTAAGTTAGACGCTGTATGTGAGGTGATAGCACAGGAGTACCCAGCATTTTCTAAGGCTACTCATTAGAGGTCTAGTTCCTTGATCTTCCAATAGAAATTGTTCCTAATTTTAAAGTCAGTATGTAAACTACATGAAGAAAAGGATTACAGTATTCACTCAATGAACATTTGGGCACGTACCTACTGTGTGCCAGGCTTTGTCCATGCAAGTTTCTGTTTAAGCAACAAAGGACAAAGATAAGTGACATCTCCTGCCCTTGAGGAGCTTGCAGGTGTGTAAACACAACACATATGTAAGCAAAAATAGAAACCAGAAAATATCTGTATAAAAACACGTAAACAAAATGATGGTATTCTAAATGGACACAAGGACAAATTGCTGTGGAAGCAATATTCCCCAAGAATGAATAAGGGAATTTTTAAGTAGACAGCAGAGAAAAGTGCATTCCAGTAGATGGAAAAACTTATGCAAAAGTACAGAAATGTAAAAGGAATGAGGAAGGTTGAGCCGCTGGTGCTGGGAGTGGAGACAAAGGTGTGGGGTTGGGGACACAGACACAGGGATGAGGCTCTGGAGCTCTTCAGGGCCAAAGGCTCAGGAGACCTATCCGTCTCCCTGAAGCCCTTTCCCTCT